AGATATTTCAGACTGATATTATGGGTTTGTTAACAAGAAAAGCCACCGTGTAATAGTACAGTGATAAAGGGATGAAAGGTGAAAAAACAAGGAGAGTTTTTCTTTTACTTTTTTTGAGCCCATCTAAATGAAAAGTCATTTACACAAAGACAAATAGACGCAGTTATGAAATTACCAGGCCCACCTATTATGGTATAATAATGGAAGTCATCTGAAAAAGACATATGAAGTAAGTCCTCAAGCAAGCAAAAATCTCTTTTAAAACCAGACCTTCATGTAAATGAATAATAAAAGTTCTCTTCATTTATATAGTTGAGATGTATCAAAGCTTCTGGTTCAAGATGGCAGACTGAACATGTATTTATTGCTTTTTTTCCCCAAATTCTATGACAAATGTTTATTGATCACCTAATATGTGATAGACAACTGAAATCAAAGTACATATAATAAGGTAAACATGCCAGAGAGCTATCAAGAAGCCAGAACTTTGGCCAACTTCCCAAAACTTGGGAAGCAGATGCATTACACAAGTGAACCAGAGAGTGTCCTATAAGAGGCCTAAGAAAAGGAGGTAGGAACAAATTTGTCCTAAGGAACAGTAAAGAAATACTAAGCTCCTCATTATTATATAAAACAGGAATCAGCAAACTTTCTGTCAAGAGCCAGACAGTCTTGCCCAAACTAGGCTTTGAACTGGGCTTCCTGCTAGCTAGGCAGGTGCTCTACTGCTTGAGCCATGCCTCCAGCACAGTCCTTCTCTCAAATACCCAACAATACAGTTTCTCTTGCAAATACTAAGCCCCACCATAGCAGTGCAAAACAGCCAAAGACAACACAGAATCAAGTGTGGTTGTATCCTGTTAAAACTTACAAAATAGTAGGTCACAGTTTCCCAGCTCTGATCTAGATTTTTACCATTGTGGCCTCATTATAGGAAATGGGGGGAAAAAGTCTAAGGGAAATCTCTCTGGCAAGAAATGTATACGTATCTTCAGCTCAGCTTCCTCTCTGTACGCCAAGTCTGTCTAACAGTCCTTCCCCACAACGCAGGTGAGTTCCTGCAACCCCACAGTCACGTACACAAGATGAGTCTTGTCAATTCCTTCCCCAATCTTTATCTTAACCAACAACAAACTCTACTTGTTTTAGTTCTTGAGTGGCTCACATCTCTTCCTGTTGACTGCCAACAAGGTCACTGTAGTAGTGTCACCTCAAGTCTGCTCTTAACCAACCTCCAATCTTCTTTCCACACTTTTCTTCAAAATTTGGTCAACAAAGATTCGTTGAGTGCTTTGTTCAGTATGTAGTACAGAGTATGTACTTAGCAAATATCTGTTAATGAATGATGATTTGCTGCCCACCTGAAAGAAAATATCCTCAGCTTATACATTTGCTCTCTTTTAGAGCCTTTGTAGAATTCTAAGGAGTACTGAACTAGAAAGAAAATACAAAGGAAGCAATATATTATCATTTGTAATACTACTAATATCATTCAAATTTTATTAAGTTCATTAAGGAGTCCAAGCCACGAATTATCCCTTTTCCTGTAAAATATGATGCTGTTTACCAGATTTCTCGTTCTCTTCAGAAACCAGAATGAATTGCAGGTTTGCATTGTCTGTCCATGGCAACACAGAATGTCATATGACTTGTTTCAGTCACTAAAATGTGAGCACCAGTGAGAAGCATCAATTCCAGGCAGACACAGCTGACCACTGACGGCAGTCTTTTAGCCCTGCCCACCTGGATCAGTTTCTGGTAGCTTCCATAGAATTTACCAGAACTGGGTGACTTAAACCACCAGAAATTTATTCTCTCATGGTTGTGGAGGTTAAAAGTCCAAAACCAAAGTGTGGCAAAATCCCTGCTCCTGGGAGAACTCTCTTTGCCTCTTCCAGGTTCAGGTGGTTGCTGGGAATCTGGGTGTTCCTTGGTTTACAGATGTACCAGTTTTGTATCTCCATCTGTCTTCACAGGGCCTTCTCATCTGTGTGTGTCTCCCCTGAGCCCTTGTGTCCAAATATCTTTTTCCTTTCTCTTATAAATATGCTGGTCATTGGATTTAGGATACTCTGTAATCCAGTGTGATTTATCTACATCTTCCCAATAAGGTCACATTCACAGGACCAAGGGTTCAGAGTTGAAATATCTTTCTAGGGGACACTGTCTAACCCAGTAGGCCACCCTACACAAACCTGGGCCCCAGAGTGAATGCCCTTAGACAGATGTGTATCTCCCAGCTCACCTCACTTCAAATGACAAGACCTTTGAGGAGAATGAACAGCAGATTACCTACATCAGGTTAAGTGTCTCTCTCTTCAGTTTTGCTGTCGACCTTTAACCCATTCATGAAAGTGAAAGGTGTCTATGCTGTGTATCATTTGCTTGTGACCTGTCTCTGGACTGCCCTCCCTAGGCTGTGATCCTGATGGTCATCACTTATGTACTGAGTGCTGGCTGTAGGATACCTCTTATACTGTGTGCAGGAAGGATTTGCAGGAAATTAGACACGGGATCTATTGAGAAGGAGTATATAATCTAACCCTTGAGCAACACAGAAAAGCTCTGTATCAGTTTAGCTGGAACTGCCAGTGGAGACTGAGTAAGAGGTAACCATAACAGGGCTCCCACCTGTTCCAGGTACTTAGCACTTTGTACACACACAAGTCCCTTCAAGCCCCATGGGAGTCATACCCCATTGAGGTTGGTAATTTATACCCATTTTACAGGAGATGAAGCTGAGGCTTTAAAAGGTTAAGGAACTTGTCCAATGGCCACAAAAGATGCCAGGAATCCTGACTCACAACTATTAGGTCTGAGGTCTCTCTTGTAGTACACCTCCGATTCAGCTAAGCTATAATGGTCTACCAGGACAGGCATCCACACTCAAAAACGCTCAAGGTTTGGTTCTCCCCATAGTTATCCTTGGGTTGAACTGATCCTGTAACAACATCAACAATAGAGTAGAATAAAGAACTACTCTTCAATTTCTATTTCATTCTTGATAGGTCAGCCTTCCTACCTTGTTTTATGGATGAAAACATAAAACAAGGGTGAGTCCAAATTCCTTCTTTCATCTTTTCATTTACAAGAATTGAAATTAGACACAGTCTTCTAACTTGGCCATGGATTGAGACTGTATCAAGAGCCTTCAAAGTCCCCAAAGAGACTGGGATGTAGCTCAGTGATAGAGACTTTGCCTAGCATGTGTAAAAGGGAAAAAACTTCCCAAAGAAACACCACCAAAACAAACCAACCCTATTTTTAAGTGTTTCCAACCTTGTTTCAAAACAGTCTTATGAGGATTGTTTTCCACACAGCCTGTAAGAAGACAGCTACGTTGGAAATCAGCTTTTTCCTGGGTAGACATAGCCTGTTTTCTATGCTTGGAGAAGCAGGGAATGCCCAAGCTGGCATTCAATCCTAGCAAATATAAAATAGACCATTTTTTAAAAGTTGTAGGAATGTTAAGGTCCATGTTGACTGGATTTTGCATTTACCCGGCAGCATTCCCATGCTAGCGTTGGCATGGAGACTGGAAAAGGAAACTTTCCATGAGTCTGTCACTTGCTACTGTTTCCACTTATTTTACTGTGAATCCAATTTTAACAGTTTTTTAAAAGTTAAAAAGAGTTTGATTCCCTTTGTGTTTTCTGTTTCAGGGTGTTTCTCAAACATGAAAACATGTGTAAAAAAGGCTTTTAAAATCAGTCAAAGATTTAGGTTTGTACATATTCAGCTGTTTAGCATTCAGATAATTGCCTGCCCTTTTCTTACTCCCCCCCACCAACATTTCATCTGAATGCTTTGGCATGGGGAGCCCCACAGTCTGAAAGTAACTCTGTCTCAAGTTCCCTTACTGCATTTATTAAAAAGGCTAAGAAGCATCTGCTTTTCAACACTTAAGAGTCAGGAAAGTCAGAGGTTGTGACTGTTCTGGAAGAAAACTGGGCTTCCCCAAACAGTGCAATCCAATTTGGAGTGGTCACACCTAGCAGTTCTTGAAGTCATTTTTTTTGAAGCCAACATGCTGAAATAGCTAGGCTAAGGGCAAAGATGGAGGGCACTGTCACTCATCTCATGGTGTATCTAGAAGCCAGTAGGCACTCAATTCTGGTGTACAGGATCGGAACCACTGTATGCCATATCCCATCTAAGACTGAACTGTGACTTTTCTGGGCTGGGAAATGGAAGAAGAAAGAGCTGCCTTCTTAGCACTTCAGGGGTCTCAGACCGGCCCACGATGCCAGGCATTCTCATTTCCCCTTGACATCATCCTGAACTGTTCTGGCTGAAGCTGGCGCGATGCTTGGGGGGGGGGAGGAAATACATGTGAGGAAAATCAAGAAGAGAGAGAGAGAGGGTCGGGAACAGATGCGAGCTACAAGGGAAGTCATTTAAAAAGAAAGAAATAGAGTCCCACAACTGGAAGGACCACCCCCTCCATGTCATCAGGGATGTGGGATTGGGGGTGATTTTGCGCGTTCTTTGTTCTATTACCCTGTTTTCTATGTTTCCAGTTTATTTGTTTGCTGTTTTTTCTATTAAAGTTATTCCACCACGAAGACAGAGCTGGTGGCAATACCTGGCATTCAGTGGGCGCTCCCTATAGGCCATCAGAACTAATGAACAAATTTAGGGGCTGTTGTTTCCCCCACCCCCAATCCGCGTGGGTCCTTGGCGCCTGGCACGTAGTAGGCACTCCCTAAACATCTGTGGAGCAAATGATCTGTGAGTTTGGGGCGCTGAGTACGTGCAGCCTGGACACCAGGACAGAAATGAGTGTCACAAAAGCGATTCAGACACGTGCGGAAGGCTCACAGGGGCAGGCGACAGTGGGAAGAATGGCACGGAGCGGGGGACCCCGTGGGAGGTGCTGCACGCGTGGCGCGGAGGCCAGGGCGCGGGGATCCGGGCGCCGGCACGTGCGCGCGTCGGGAGCCGCGGCGGGGTGGCGCGCGTGTGCGCGTGGGGCGCGGGGTGGGTGCCCGCGCCGTGGCCCCCGCGCGTGCTGCCGGGCGGGCGCCGGCGTGAGTCACGGCGGGGCTCGCCTCGCCTTTATAACCGCCGCGAGGCTCGCCGGAGCCGCCGCGCCCACCCGCCCGCCGCGTCGCGCTGCGCTGTGCTGCGCTCCGCCCGCCGAGCAGCCCGGGCTCCGCGCCCCGAACCGCCCCAACAGCCGCCGGGTCCCGAGGGCACCATGGGGAGCCCGCGCTGCGTTCCGCTGCTGCTCCTGCTGCTGCTGCCACCGCTGCTGCTCACGCCCCCCGCCGGGGACGCCGCGGTCATCACCGGGGTAAGCGGTCCCGCGCACCTGTCTGCTCGATCGGATGCGCACCCCGGGTTCGCCCCAGGGGGGCTCGGGAGCGGACGCTGGAGGGGATGCCGGGGGCAGGGGAGGGCCATCCCGGGCGCGGACACCTGCCCTAGTCGCCCTTTGCGCACTTGGGAAAGTGCCCTAATCCAAAAGCAGCGGGCAGACCGGAACGCGGGGCGCGCTCTGGAACTAAAAATGGCCAGGGTCACCTTTTCCCACCTACTTCTCCCGAGTCCCGCACGACCCTCTCAGGTCTGGTCTGTTTTTATATTCAGCTGAAAGAAGTTTCTTTCGCAGTCTTCTCAAGTTCTTTTCGAGGCTCCGGAGCCCGGACATTACATTTTGAAGGCCCCTGCCTTAAATGTAAAGGAGCAAGATGAGTGCCCCAGCTCCCGGGGGTCTTTATCCTAGGTTCAAGTAATTTGCTCCTCGTGCGCCCATCCTCCGCAGAACCGTTTGAAATCACTTGGGTCAAGGCCCAAGTGCGCTTTGAAAAGCAATTTGTGGGCTTTTCTCACTGGGTTCCAGAGCCCCAAGCCCCCCCCCACACACACCCACCCTTAAGCGTCTTCAAGTTCTTCCTATAAAAGTTCTCCTTTTCTGATTTCTGATAAAGTCCGAGTGCTTAATGATGGAGAGGGCAGTCAAGTAGGCATTGTACAAACTTACAGAAGTTTTCATTTTTTAGTAGCCACTGGTTCAGTTCTGTCCTCATTCCAACACTTTTCTTTGTGTGGATATGAAGACAGAGTTTACAGAACAGAATTTAAAGTCTCCTCCAGTTTACATCAACAATGCAGAATCGCTACTGTTTGCTGTGCAGCTGTTTTACTGTTAAGTGCTAAAGTAGTTTACTTAATTAAATTCGCTTATTTGCTTCATTAAATCACTTCAAATATCCAAGTGCACATTGTAGAATTTAACTAAAACGTATGCATTTGAAACGGTGACGCATAGATAATTAAATAACTTTTAACGTAAAAGAAATGTCATTGTCTTGATAAAATCAAGCTCTTTTGTCTCTGAATTTGTTAATAGGTTGATAACATTTTGAAAGCCCTTGGGCTATGACAGCACTTGGTTTTATCTAATAGATACTAAATTATATGCTTTGTGGTATTTATTAGGTTTTTTTTTTTTTTTTTAGTAGCTTTGTCAGTAGCCAGTCCCTGTGTTTGAACAAACGTTTCTACAGGTCTTTCTAGCACATGAGAATTGAAACATGATTGCGTTTTTCTTTCCTTCTTCCCCTGCTGGTTCATTTTAAATGTCTGCTAATCCTCTGAGTCTAAGATTGCTTTGCAATACAAGTATCTTTTTTGTTCCATTCACAGGACAGCACTATTTGAATAGCTCTGAAATGGGTAAAGGATGAAGGGCATTAGGAAACAGCTGTCTAATTAAAAATATATAAGTTTTTGCAAGTCTTTGTACATTTTCCAAGAACTGAAGCGTTTTGTTACAAAATGAAATTTTATCACATTGGATGTTTATCTGCTAGAGAGGTTTAGACTGGATTCATTGTACAGTTGTGTGTGCTCTGGTTGTTTTTGTTTTAATTTAATTTACAAAAAAGAGGTTTTTTTTTTTAATTCTCTAAAGCAACATGGCAATAAAATGTAGTTATATCCCCCTGACAGGAACCATCTGGCTTCAAATGAAAAACTCAGTGACTTACCTAGATATATTGTATATAGGATGCAAAACATCCGAATGATTGATTGAATTTCAAAAGGTTTGGCCAGATTTTTTATTGTCTTATACAAAGAGCTGCTGGGGCTTCAGAATTCAGGGTATGAAGCATGTGATGAAATAAAATACTGGCTGAACCCTCCACCTTAAGTATTTACTTCTTTTTTTAGTAATCTATATAGGTATTTTGAAATTGATTTATATGTTCATATAAATTTGTTAAAGCCCTATTGGAAAAGATTGTTGACTGAACCTCTTGTTTGTGGAATGGGATGGCCACGTATGCATAATTTCTGCCATATAGATAAAAATGGGAAGATGGAACTGATTAGTTATTGTCCCATAAAATTCGAACCACCCGGACTGAACATTGTGGGTTTAAGCTACATACTTGTTTTAAATAGAATGAGAAGAAATTCTAGTGGAGGTTGTAAATAAACTCTAAAGCAAGATAGTAAGTTGGTCACTGTTAATGAAAACTAATACAAAGAATGTACCCATATGTGTGTGTGTGTGTTGAGAAGTTATTGCTGTCACCAAACCTGAAATCTTTGAAGGACTGTTTTAGTTGTTCTCAATAAATGTAATTTAAATTCCTGCCTAAACTAGGCTTTTTAGTCTCTTACATATGTAGCACAGGATACTTTTGTCTTATCACTAGCAAAACAAATTATTGCAGTGTTCAAACAAAGCCTCCCATTTTTTATTAGTTCTAGGGAAGGAAATAGTTCTTCAAATCCATTTTCATGCAAATGCATTTGGGCTTCATTGCCTGTTTCTATTTAGTGCAGTGTAGAAATTCCTCTATAGTTGCTTCTTTGGTTTTATGTATTTCTAGTTTTCATATTGGGAACAGGTGCCTTGAGCAATTAACTGTTGATAACTACATCTGTCACTGGCATGTCTTAATCTGATGTATCTTAAAGGGTAGCTCTGTGAGTTTGTAAAATATATATAATCCTATGCTGGTAACTTCCTTGAATGAGAAGAGCATAAGCCATAAGTCTTGGTCTGTCCATTTCCAACTATGAGATGTCTTTAAAGAGGAAATGGTGAAAATCAAGTTAGTGATGTGAGAAACATCAAGTCTCATGAACCAAAATGCAAATATTTGAAAAGGAAAATGAGTGCTTCTAAATTTACATCAAGGCCTTTATGGGTCTGGAGTGTTTCATGCCAGATGTAGTGACCATTTAAATCTCTTTTTAAAATTAGGCCCAATATATTCTGCAGTTAATAGTCATAAAATCTCGTAATTGGATTTATGTAATTCTCAGTGGCCTTGTATAGTATAGGACTAATGTAGGTTCATTCTTCAAAGCCAATTTAGCCATAAAGTATTAGAAACAGAGTTGGGTTTTTTTAAAAAGTGTTATATTAAAGATTTCCATAATGTGGTGCTATTATTTAGTCCATTTTTAGAAAAATCTGTCCATCACATTTTGTCACAACATATGCAAGCAAATGACGCTTACAGTTCTTGTTTACATATGCGCTGATTAAAATCATAGGGTTTAGGTATCTCAAGAGCATTTTTCACTGCTAATTTCAGACTTTGATAGCCTGCGTCTTTCCTACTGTTTATATCTATCTGTTTGTTTATTGTGTTTCAGGCCTGCGACAAGGACCCCCAGTGTGGCGGAGGCATGTGTTGTGCTGTTAGTATCTGGGTTAAGAGCATAAGGATCTGTACCCCGATGGGAAAAGTGGGAGACAGCTGCCATCCGCTGACTCGTAAAGTTAGTATCTCTGTTGGTTCTGTGTGTCGCCACCTCCACTCCCAGCAGGGCCTGAAACTGGAAGTCAGAGGAGATAGCTCCGGAAGAGCACCAACATGCTTTCCATGTCAGTGAATTACATCCTGGACCCTCCACACTTCTAGTCATTGTTCTCATATCATTCTTCTTACATCATTAGAAACAAGTCACCAAAAATAATCTCCAGCACATGAGTCTACATAGACTTATTTAGGACAAAACATATACTATACTTTGTATGCTGCTTTGCAAAAATCAAAGTATGGAAGTTCTAGAAAACACTTAATATTAGACCTGCTGATAAGGCAGAAGTAAATAAGATTTGTGGGTTATTTTTTCTTTTTCAGAAAATCACTGATAATACAGTTACTCTTATATCTTTTGGTTTTGGTTTTGGTTTTCTTGAGAAAGGGTCTCACTAAGTAGCCCAGGCTGGCCCTGAACTTGTGATTCTCCTGCCTCAGCCTCCTGATAACTGGGCTTACAGTTTTGCACCACCATGCCTGGCCACATACTCTTAAAAGTCCTGTATTTTACTTCTTTACTTATGGGATGTATTGCTCATGATTTTAGAGATTAATTATATTTAATTTTCCAACTTATTTTATTATGGAGCAGCTCAATGCCACATTGACCTAAACAATACTTTGCAAAGCTGTTGACAGTGAGTGGCATGACCCCAGGCCTGCAGGGTTGGATTTGAACAGGGCTTCAGAGGTTGCATCTCCAGAGGTTGCAGACTCACCTGTCTGTAGGGACAGCAGCTTTGCATTACATCAGTCAAGGCAAGAAAGGGAGATGGAGGGGAGCACCTTTGCTCTACAGATTGCTAACTTTTGACATATAGTGTGGTCTCAGCAAAATCCCCAGGGATGCCAGGTGGCAAAGCCTTCCTCTAGTCCCTCCTCTTGTATATACCCATCACTGAGGCATTGAGATGAGCCCAAGGCCAGGGAACTTGTTGGGAGGCAAAACTCAGGTTCTTATAGTGCTCTCTGTACACATTGTATACTCCCTCTTGAAAACAGGTTGGATATTTTCAGATCAAACAGAATCCCATCTTCTGCCTTACTACGTTTGCATGTGATTTAGGGTTTAGCACTATATTAGAAGCAGCCATCTTTTCTATCATCCACAGTCCCAGATAACAGCTAATATTTGACCTTCACGGAGTGAACATAATGAAATAAATGGTGACCTATTAGCACTGTGTAGCTCCATGCACTGGAATACAGTTCCAGTTGACAGGGGCTATCTGAAGCCTGCATTAGCTGTTGGCTTTCCTGCGGTTGCCTTGTGAAATGCTTCCTGTTCCCCTGTGGTTTTACCATGTAAGACTGCACTGTCACTTTTAAGCATGACATGCACCTTTTATTCTTGGACACTTTAAGATAGAAAGGTTTTTATTTTATTTATTTTTTTAAACCATTAGTCTGTCTCTATGCCAAACTCCCCACGAGCAAGCGAGCAGGTGAGGTTGGCCCAGTGCCTTTGGCAATGCTTGCCTGTGACTCATCTGTTGTACACGCAAAACATCTGAAAAGTTTGATTTTACCTTTCTGCTTAAAGAATTCAGTCCTTTTTATACAGTGTTAGCATAACTTATGGTGTTGTTTGCTAAAACAACAAATGAGAAGTGACTTTCTGTATGAAGGACAATAATAGTCACCATTTGTTAAATGTCCTGTATATATTGCTTACTTAATTCACACTGCAAGCCTGTGATGTAGGCTTATTTTTGTCATACTCTACATGAAATGGTAAACCTCAGAGGGATTCAGTGACTAGTTGAGGTTATGGGACCATAAGTGAGAGACCTACACTTCTTCCTGACACTGTCTTCTCTGCGGTCCTCATCACTATGTTCCTTTACTCCTGGGAAAGCAGTTGTGTTAATCTGAGCACTTTTAGTCCAATTAAAAAACAAGTGACAAAGACAAGATATTCACCAGAATAGGTGCTAAAGGTCCTGAATTTGTGCCCCCTGGTTTTTTTTTTTTATGATATTTAAAAGAGAACCAAATTCACTTCCCCATTCCTAGATAACTTGGAGTTTTAGGTTCCAGGTAATGGCAGTTCTGAAAGCAAACAACATCAGTCTTCTCTCACATACCTTGTTACACCACTACAGTTTTTATTCTATCTCAGGTCAAATAATGAAATCTTTAAATAACAGATTGTGATTTTCATAGTAAAATTAGGTGATAAAATAATAGAAATACTAAAAAACAAGGTTTTGTGTTGGGTTTTGACTCCCTTCTCCTCCCCTCCCTCCAGTTACCCACTTGAAATACATTTCTTAAGTGTGATTTTGCAACTTTTCATATTGGGGTTACTTTTTTCTGCCCTGAAAATACATTTTTAAAGGCCATTTTGGTGAGCTATTTGATGAGTAGGTACTGGAGTTGTTACCTGTTACAGATGGAATTAACCTATGGTAGAAAAAAATTTAGTTTCTTCTAGAGTATGCTCTTAAAAACAAGTCAAGCAAAACATTTTCCATAAACATATCCTGGTGAATATTATGGTACCCTATCCTAGTCTGAAGTTCAATGATTCCTTAGTAAGCAGTAAAAATGTCAACACTGGCTGAGTGCCAGTGGCTCACACCTGTAATCCTAGCTACTTAGGAGTCAGAGATCAGGAGGACCCCGGTTCAAAGCCAGCCCAGGCAAATAGTTTGTGAGACCCTATCTTGAAAAACCCTTCACAAAAATAGGGCTGGTAGGCTCAAGGTGAAGACCCTGAGTTCAAGCCCCAGTACTGCAAGTAAAAAAAAATGTCAACTCCATATAGAAAATTCTTCCCTTTCACTTTGGCTTAGTCGGTAGCCAGCAAAATCTGTTTGAGTGAAGTCAGCACTGGATAAATGAACCATAGAGCCATGATAGGAACAGGCAGCCTCTAAAGCTAGTTCACTGTTTTTATGTCATGTGTATCAGTTTATTTGGAGAGTTTATAGTCACTGATAAGCTATCATTTTATAATCATATAGAATTTTTACTTTATATTTGATAATTCAAACATAAAGCAAAACAGCTGGGCCCGGTGGAGCACACCCACAATCCCACTCAGAAGGGGAGGCAGAGGAGGCTGGTGAGTTCCCAGGGCCAGCCTGGGTTACACCGGGGGACCCTAACTCAAAAAAAACAAGGGCTGGGAGTGCAATTCACTGCAACAGTGCTTGCCTAGCACTCGTGACTCACACCCCGGGCTCAATATTCAGTGGACTCTTTGTATTGCGTGTATGTGGCTCCAAGGAGACTGCATTGAGGGGAAACTGCATGCTTGGGACACACAGAGTTCAATGCTGTGCTGTGGATGCTTGAGTTATTTTTCCTGTAAAGCTACTTAACTTCCAATAAAGACATCCCACTTTTCAATGAATCTCAAAACTTCACTTTCTCACCACAATTAAGCACATTCACTTTTACCTTGCCTTTGAGTACCATTTGCTTTTTGAGGAAGAATATTTGTACAAAATTAAGGAGAGGGAAGCACTCAGAAGATTGCACAATGATTTAAACTCAACCGATGATGATGTGGACTGAGAGTTCCTCTGCTTCAGCCGAGCTTCAGAATGTGTGTGCGTGGGACTTTAAACTTTTTGGTTTTGAAATTTCTTTTGATTTTTAAAATTATTTTTTGATTTCTGCTTACTTTATCACCTGCATTAATAAATATTTAATAAGATGGGGTTACAGTGTATATAATTTTACCTAGGAAGAACATTTCCTTCTAAACATATTTTTGATGGTACTGGGGTTTGAACTCGGGACCTTGTGCTTGCTAGACAGGTGTGCTATCACTTCAGCCATACTCCCACCCATATTTACTTTAGTGTATTTGTGATAGAGTCTCACATTTTTACCCAGGTTAACCTCAAACCTCAGTCTTCCTACCTTTGCTCCTAAGTAGCTGAGATCACAGATGTTTTTGAGATAGGGTCTTGCTAACTTTCTCCAGGCTGACCTAGGACCACAATCCTCCTACCTCTGCCTTTTGTTCTAAATACATTTTAAAGTAAATAATAGTTTTAACAGATATTTATTTTTAACAATTAATGAATGACTTACTGAATTATGTCTATTGAAAATGCTGTTTCAAAAAACAGAATTTTCTATTACTAGCTATACTTTTTTTTTTTAACAGATTATGGGTTTTGTGCAACTGTGTTCCTCCAAAGTAATTTTTAAATTTTACTCCATTTTTTTTTTTTACATACTGGAGATAGAACCTAGGACTTGGACATGCTAGGCAAGCACTCCACCACTAAGCTGTACTCCCCAGTTTGACTCCACTTTTTTATAAATATTTTTAACATCTTTTTTTTTAAACTTTACTTTAAAACTTGACCTGCACATTTTCCTTTTCTGAAGCAACAATTTTAAAACAAGAACCTGAGTCTTCTTAAGAAAAAATTTTGAAGATTAAAAAAATTAATGGTCTCCACTTTTAAAACCAAAACATTATAAATATAACTTTAGAATATAATCGTTAATTGTTTTAATTTAAAAGAAAATTTTTTATTTTATAACTTTTAGCAAGGCTAAATAAAATACAACCATGATAACAAAAAGTTAGGGAAAGATGTTGGAAGAAATAATAAAATGCTGCCATAGATGTCAGGAGTCACTGTCTACAATGACCTCTTGGGGTAGCATCAAATTTAAATCACTAAAGAGATTCCTAGGCCTAAATATGCTTTAATCTAACACAGGTTTTCTCAGTGCTAGCATTACATCCCCTTCTCCCCAGTTTCTCCATATATTAGCATCTTACAGAATGATAGCGCAGTATCCCAGTGTCAGGATGAAGGCGTTAACAGTCAGGCCAGTTCTGTCACTACAAGGATCCCTCGTGCTGCCCTTCATAACTGCTGTTTCTCTTTAAAAGTGCTATAACCAAATAAGAACCATGCTTTCCTCCAAAGTGCTTAATAGTCTGCCTCGGACACTGGTTGAATTTGCTGTTTGGAATTCCAGGCTCTTCAAAACGGGATTGAGTGTTCGAATAATTCTAAAGTACACCATTTAAGTTTGGACTGAACGGCTCAAATAGGCACCTGCTCTAAACATTTTCTCATGCAGGTGTGACTGTGAGACACTCACTGGCTTCGCCACTTGAGGTTTGTGGACCTGGAAGTGAATGGGCCACTCAGGAAACGGATGGGCATCTACTGAGTGTATGAGATCAGAAATTGTGGTCTTTGTGGTTATGAGCTCACGGATGGAAGGGGAGGAGGGAAAGCGCCACAGCCTGGTGCTGTTAGGGAAGGCTGCAGGGAGGGAGGGAGGAATAACCTGGATCTTGAATATGGCACCTGGGTTTGAATAAGAACGCCACAGGCATGGAGTATACAGGGACCTGCAGTGCACTATAATCCTTATGTAAGGTCCTGCCTGGAGGCAGATCTAGCTCGACTGTTATGTAGCCTTGGGTCCCTTAATAAGAAAATGAATACAAGATATTCTGGAATGTTTCACAAAAATATTTGATTTTGTGAATATACTGCTAGGGGACCTCCCAAGCCCAAGAAGGGCCTATGCCAATGAGGGGTGCCAGCCTCTGTGGCTTTGCAGTAACTCCATCTCTGACTTTGGTGATTCAGATTGGGCTGGGCCTGGTCAGTGCCAGGCATGTGCAGGCTCAGGCCTGAATGCAGTCATTTATTGGTCTTCCTAGTCTGTCAGGAGGCATTGGGTAGAGGTGACAGATAGTTAACAGATATTTTCTTGAATGTTTTTTATGTGCCATCCTAAGTGCTGTGTGATCATATGTAAAATGGGCATGGCCCCCTCTTCAGACAGCCTAGAGTCAGGATATGGTGACAGTTGGGAAGAGAGCAAAATCAAGAAGAGAACAGCACTGAGGGACCACACGTCCTTCCGCTTTCTAGCTGGGTCACCTCAGTCAGGCCCATCACTTCACCTCCAGAGGAAGTACTTTGCCAATCCCAAAACTAAGCAGAAAGCTGGTTCCCTTGAGTTTGGGGTGATGGTCACTCATGACACTTAAGAAGTCTGACCCAGGACAAGCAGGTAGTGTTATTCTTCTTCTCTGCTTCTTCTAAGGTGTTGGCAGCCCAGAGTGGTCACAGTGTCCTGCATGAGGCACAGGACTGTGGGCACCATGAGCGCCCTTCCTCAAAGCAGGACATGTCTCACTGACTATTTGTCTTTCATCGTTAATAGGTCAACCCTTGATGGTACGTGGCCTTTCCTATCTAGTTCACTGGGATATCCTCAGCACTGAAAACAGGGCCTAATATGTAGATAGCACTCGATAAATACCTGTTTGAAACCTGGTTAGCAATTCCTGTTTAGAACACTTTGACATCCTGGTTATAGTTCACTTACTTCGGGTTCATCTCCCTGGGTGCTTCTACCTGCTGTCAGTTTTCCCCAACCTCATATGTGGACCTTTTGGGCTAGATCATTCCTTGTCATGAGGGGCTTTCCTGGATGTTTAGGATGTTCAGCAACTTTTGTACCCTCTACTCACCAGATGTGAATAGCCCCTAGTTGTGACAAACAGAAATGTCTTTGGATATTGCCATGTGTACCCTGTGGGCAGAATTACACCTACACTGAGAACCACTGACCCATGCAGGAGTGTCAAGTTTGTCAAAAAGGAAACTCTCAAAGTCTCAGGATCTGAACGGGTTGTAAAGCTCTCTGATGATGACTTCTCAGACTATCCACTTATACTTACCTAAGGTAATGCAGCTGCATTCACCTTCTCTGGTAGTTTCTTGGTGGCAGCAAATAAGCTGACCCTCAATTCCCTTGACTCACACAGTGACAGAACCATTCTGAGCACAAGTCTGCATTGATCCGACAGACAGGGTGCCTGTATGTAGACACACTGGTAAGAACTTTGGATGTGATGACATATCACAAAGGCAAAAGCACTGCAGTAGCTCAGATATGTCCTGCTCTGCCTGTTGATCACATATGCTCCCTGCCCTTCTATTGCTTCCCTTTCTTCCTTTTGTGTTTATTGATTTCAGTCATCTCCCTGACCCTTCCAGAGCAGTTTCGCAAATGGAAGGCAGGAAAGAAGAAAGAGGAAGAGAAGAAAAAGGAAAAAGGAGGTAAGAAGAATTGCCAGCATGGTACCTACCGCCAAGAAAATATACCCAGAAGTAGTAGTCTTTACTTATACCATAGAATTGGGTTTATCTTGTCAATTTGACACCACAATTAGGTTGGAATGGTTCTACCACTGTGTGAAGACCACTTTTGTTATGTATAAAGAAATCTGTTTTGAGGACATCTGGAAGACATGTCTCAGATTTTCTCTCAAGAACGGATAATTGGTGTGGGGTGGCCTCTTTTAGTGGAAGTGAGTTGAAATACACTAGAATGATATCTCATAGAGCTTTTAAGTTTGGAAGCAGGAGGAACACAATCTCTGCCGTGTTTCAACTGTAGCAGAATTCCTGGGATTTGTGTCTTGCTTCTCACATCAGCCCGAATCCCAACCATTTGCCTTCCTGTTTCACTCTCTGTAAAATATCTTAAGCACATTTTTCTTTGTTTGTTTGTTTTCTTTCTTGGAATTTTGAGATAGGGTCTCACTATATGGCCCAAGCTGGCCTTGAACTCACAATCCTCCTGACTTTGCCTCCTGAGTGCTGGGATTGTAGGCATGCTTCACCATGCCCAGAGAGGGTTAAAAGTTTCTCCATGTGGCTTTTCTCCATACAGTTCTTAAGGAGGGCCTGTTCCTAGGGCAGGGAAGATGATTTTGGCTCTAGCTCTAGAAAGCATACATATTTTGTGTGCACTCCACTTACCATTGGCACAAAGAGCCACCATGCTAGCTACAGGTCAACTCTTCTCAACCCAGCCTCACTGGTGACACAGGTGAAATTCACGGAGTGACTGGGGATGAAGCAGGCCTTTCCAGTGGGTCATCCTGGGCCAGGGTTTGGTTTGTTGCATTTCTGCAAATGGAGCTCTCTTGCTCCCATAAATTTCCTCTGTTCCTTTAAAAAAAAAAATTCCCCTAGCCCTTTGACTCCTGGCATCTATATATAAATGTATGAATTTATAGATTACTGATTGATTGATTGTGGATTTATATTTGCTCATTGTATAGCTGTGCTCATCACCATGACCCTGGGCTCTGTAGCAGGTCACTGTACAAATAAAAATAAGGGGGAAAATGCTGAAAACTCAGTCTCTAGCCCCACTGTAACTGAACTGCAAGTCGCATATGTGATTTTGGATGACTTACTGATTTTTGTGTCTCAGCCTCTTCTCTGGGAAATGGGTATAATTAATAGTATAATTAATAGCATCTTCACGAGGCCATTGTAAGGATGGGAACAGATGCTAACTAAAAAGTTGTGGGCAAATTGCCTAAAAACAAATGAACTGTTAATTTGACTTCCTGTGGACTCTTCCCAGTTATAATAACTCCAAGACATCTGAAGCATGGTGTGATTGGTTTTGAAACTTGTCCTACTCTGACTGTTTTCTTTTTCTTTCAGGTTCCATTTTTCGGCCGGAGAGTGCATCACACTTGTCCATGCCTGCCAGGCTTGGCTTGTTTACGGACTTCATTTAACCGGTTTATTTGTTTATCCCGAAAGTAATCACTCTGGAGTAGAAACTTTCAATGTGAACAGCCACACGATGTCTGAAATGTCGTCTTGTGATTGTGCCAAACAAATAATATGCCAGAAAGCAACACTCCTGCTTCCTTGACTTTCCATGTAACATTTTAAATCTTTGATTTTTAAGTGATTTTTTTTTTATTGAAAGGGTATTTTGATTTGGGATGGAAATATAAAGTATAAGGCATTATGGAACTGGTTCTCATTTCCCATGTTTGTGTTTTAGTTTGGTGTGGCTTTTTTTAAAATGCCAGAAACTCACCCACTTTTGATGAGAATAAGAATTGATATTCTGTTACAGAAACATTTTTTTCATACAACCCCTCTCTCCATCCCCACCCTACCGCACACACACACACACACACACACACACACACACACACCCTTTGGCTCTTGTCTCTTACTCGTCAAAGAAATGTAAGGCCCTCACTTTATTTTTCTCCATTTCCTTCCCACTTCTTAGCATCTTAATTGGGGGTTGCACATCCTACTTTGCTGGCAGAATCACTGATGAGAGTCCCGTCTAGTTCTACTGAACTTAGCAGTGACTAGAGGACACAGTTGAACTTGATGCTCCAAACGCCTTCCTTTTTCTTTTTTTTTTTTTTCGTGGTACTGGGGTTTGAACTCAGGGCCTCCACCTTGAGCCACTCCACCAGCCCTTTTCTTTGTGATGGGTTTTTTCGAGACAGGGTCTTGAGAACTATTTGCCCAGGCTGGCTTTGAACCGTGATCCTCCTGATCTCTGCCTCCTGAGTAGCTAGGATTACAGGCGTGAGCCACTAGTGCCCAGCTCCAAATTTCTCTTATGGAGTGGAGGTTGGGAGCATTCTGGAACTTTTCTGAACCTCCTGGGCCCACTGGACTTAGTACTGCTCTTCAATTGATATGAGGACAGAATTAATGGGAAGCCAAATTAATTTAGTCCAGATTGCTAGATTTGGGGTTTTGTTTAAATAAAAGACATGTTTTTCAATATGTATTACCTTCATTTTTTTTCTTTTTATGCAGTTTTGTTTTTAAGTCTCCTAGTTAGAGATGTTTCAAAACATGTCACTTGAGGAGGAAGTACTGATTTTAATCTGGCATAATACTTGTTACAATTTTTAAATTGATACTAAATTATGATTTAAACATTTTTTTGTAACCAAAAGGTCTGTTATAATGGATTTCCTGATATCCAGACATTTGTACCAGTATCACTATTGCTGCGTAAAAATTCTGTATCAGAATAATGACAGTACTGTATATCATTTGATTTATGTTAATATTATATCCTTATTTTGGTCACAGTTGTCATCAGTCTCTATTATAAGTAGATTTCTCTATAGGCCACATCTGATATGGGTGAAGACTCTGAAGTTGGTAAAATAACCCAAACACTATGTGACTTTTCACTTTACATCCAGGAAAGTTGTGTTTGCATGAATTTTAAGGCAGTATGAAAAAGAATAAACAACGTGTACATCGATGAAATTTTGGAGCTTGAAAGAGAAGTATGACCATGCAAAACTGATTGCACCAATCCAGCAAGTTGTGAATGAGTGTGCGTCACAGGTGGTGAGGCAGGGCACAAGGTGCTAACTGTTCAGAGTGGACAATGTGGTCTGGCCTTGGAAAACCCACAAAGTATTGTAAACTGATTTAACATCGTAAATAAACAGCATATGAAATGTTAAGTTTAACTGACTAAACTTGACTCTCACTCACCTACCATCTCCAAAAAAAGGAAAAAACATACAACAAAAACATTTTGCACCTGTATGTGCAAAATTTTACCCTTTGGGCTAACAAGTCACACAAATGTATGGAATTTTGCTGTGCTAATGACCATAGTTGGTTAGAGAAGTGTTTTTCACTTAGGTTAGTTTGTGTTTCCTTAAACATTCTACAGCAAGTTTGTTGAAAAATGTTCCACTTCAACAATGGAATTATGGATAAACAGGCACTTCAGTGATTTGTTTTCATAGACTGTTCAAGACATCCTTTTTGGTAGGTGATGAAGACTGAATTGGGACAGTCATCCATTTTCACCAAAGTTTAAAAACTATCAACTCTTACACAATTTTGCTTTTAAATATGCCAGTCTAATTTTTTTTTGAAAATTGCTACCTAAAGCAATAAAACTACATGTGCACAGCCAAGAGAACAAATGTGTAGTTTGGGTGAAAAATTAACAAGGGTGCCAGCTCCTCCCTGCCACCCAAAGATGGACAGAGCTTTGTCACTTGCTACCTTTCCCCTTGGTTATTTTATTATTTTTAGTGTACCATACTATTTGGAGATTATTTTTTAACTTGTTAGCAAAATCAACACCTTTCAAATAACTGTTTCAAAAATCTTGTAATCATGTTTCTGGAAACTTCTTTAAGACAGCTGTAGACAAAGCATACAAAGTCTTGCAGGATGAAGGCTGTGGGGCTGTGTCTTCCAGTTTCTAGGAATGTCTCTCACTAGTAGATTAGAATGTCTATAAGGTAAGGCAAGGTAGTATTTTCACAGGAAAAACTAAGTAGTCTATTTTGGTGAAAATATTATGAATGAATTCCGTCTTGGGCCAGAAGCTAGTGACTGTGCTCAAGGGAACATTTGGATTATTTGCCACCATTGACTTTCATGGAAAATGTCATTTCTGATTTTGTTTAATCTTTTATTGAAATCAGCATCTTTTTTTTTTAACCATGGAAAAGCCTATGCCCAAATGATTTCCTTGCAGACTCTCACCATCTAACTAAACACTGTCATCCTTCCCAGCATATCAGTGTGACTTTGGTTAGTGCCACAAAAACCCAGTCTAGTTATAGATCAGATGCACCAACCAGTTTTTCTTCACTTGCTCTATATCAGAAATCTCACCACATTCTTTTTCTAGCTTCATTTTTTTTAAGAGATTAAATTTGAGAGCCGGGCACCAGTGATTCACACCTGTAATCCTTGCTACTCAGGAGGCAGAGACCAGGAGGATCATGGTCTGTAGCCAGCCCAAAGTAAATCATTCCTGAGACCCTATCTCAAAAAATGTCCAGTACAAAAAAGGATTGGTGAATTAGCTCAAGTATTAAAGTACCTGCCTGCAAGGGTGAGGTCCTGAGTTCAAACCCCAGTTCTGCAATTTTAAAAGCAGGACATTTTTGCCATTCAGTGAGAATCACTATAAAGTCCATTGGTACTCTTTCTCAATCTTTCTGTCTTCACATTACCACATGTTTCAAAAAATATACTTGGAATTAATATTTCATTCATTCTCTGACATTTCCCCTAATTTATTAATTTCCTAGTAATCCCTTTTGGCATTAAGGAAGGATGTGTTTTTTCCCAATATTTTTAAGTTTTTAATAGGCAAATAAAAGTTGAATACATTTATGGTGTACAACAGGATGTTTTGAAATATGTATGCATTGTGGAATGTCCAAATGAGCAAATTAGCATGTGCATTATGTCAGACATGTATTTTCTGGTGTGAAAACACTTAACATCTTCTTAGTGATTTTTGAAGTATACAATATTAACAGCAGTCACCAGGCTGTACAACAGACCTGTCAACAATTGTTTAATAGATCCTAAAGGTGACAGTCTTTATCAATCTGTAAGTGAATTTTATTACCCTCACCCACCAATATATATCTACATATCAGGATGTGCTCAGAGTCCATATCTCCCACAGTTAAAGATGTCATTAAAGATGCAGTTCCTTGTTTATTTGTGTTTGAGACAGTCTTACTATATAGCCTTGAGCTCTTGATCCTCCTGCCTCGGCCTCTTGAATGTGGGATTATAGGTGTCCACCACCTTGCCCAGCTCACAGGCTGTTCTTTGAAGTACTGTTTTTATTTTTCCCCATCATCCACCATCTTCAAATATTCTAATTCAATTTGTCTGGGGTGAGCCTAGGTGCTGGGATTTCTGGGTTTTTTTTTTTTTTAAGCTCCCTGATTAAATCCTAAGGTTGAGAGTCACTGGGAAAGAACAAAGGGCTGCACTTCTATGGAAAGGCAACTGCTAACTCTGATAATGTTTGGTGAGATGACTTCTAGTTTAATAAGTAAAAGTAGTAACTAAATGTCAGTCTTTTTTGCCACCCTCAGAAGCTGTTATGGTCCTCAGAATGAGTGACTCCATTTTCTCTCATTCTAGTGGAGGCTCAAGGAGGGGCCTCACTGGAGAATTTAGTGACAGTTACACATGGCTCATTTAAGGGGTCCATGCAATGAGCCCTAGAGTTAGGTAGGTGGCCTGGGTCCCACCCAGCAGGCCCTGGGCTCTCTTGTGGCCAAAACTATCTTGGTTGCAGGTTCTCTCACATTCCCTGGGGTTAGCTCTCAGGTGACCCAGCTTCTGAAGCCTACTTCCCAAGTCCTCCCCGCTACACCTCAGGAGTTCTTTGGGTTCTACAGGGGTCCCTAAATCATCAGAATGCTCTGCAGTCCAACACCACACCACACCCTAGCCAAATAAATCAGACTGGGAAGCATTAATACAAGTATCTTAGTCACCAAAGATTAAAAGTAAGACAGTAGAAAATCGTGGTATAGACACACAGTTCCTGCTGTCAAAATGCACAGTTGATCTATATTGTATGTATACTGAGTATGTGGCCTGGTACCCACCTGGGGACTTCATTGTGAAGTCTGGAATTCTCCCATATGAAAGTTGTCCTTAGTGCAGCAAAGCAATGGCCTGCTCCACAGATGATGGCAGGTGACTATTCCCAGCCCCTCGCTCACATCAGTCAGGATTTCTTTGCTCTGACACTACTAACTTTCTGGGACATGGAATTCTTTGTCACAGGGGACCCTCTTGTGCATTGCAGGATGTTTAGCAGCACCCCTGGCCACTACCCATTAGATGCCAGGAGCTCCCCCTAGTCCTGACGACCAGCGTGTGTGAAGACTTACCAGATGTCCCCTGGAGGCTGCATGTTGGGAGAAAATCCCCCCTTGACATCCACTGCTTTAGGCTATTTTGTGTCTGCTTGATATTATTTAATGACACTTTTTTTTTATTTCAGTGTCAAAAGATGAAATATTTTAAAAGTCAAACCTCTGCAAAACCAGTAAATATTTTGCATGCAAAAGTAGTGAAAAGGCACAGTTTAGATATTCAGTCAAAGAAATATCACTTATGGGTGAACTCTACAGTGTACTGTATTTCAAGGAAGAATATCTCCCAGGTTGCTCTAAATTAAAGCTTAAGGCAAAGTGCTCAGATAAATTCAGTCATGGATAAATGGTTTCACAACTTTAGGCAGTACGTCTAAGCAAATTTCCACATTGTTTAAATCCAAATTTTCATCATCTTGATTTAAATGTGAGTAATTTATGAAAAAAGTGGTTTTGGTGCAGATACTCAAAAGCTTTACAAGCAACACTGGGGGAAATTATGTTTTATTAAATTAGGTTTGAATAACTGTTGAAAAGTTTCCCAAATTGAGTTTTTCCTAAAGGCAAGACTAAGGCTGGCATGAACGTATTTGGCTCATTCTTAAAAATGAACAAGCAAACCAACAAGACTTTTTATTGTGGAAAAGTTTAAACATAAAATTTTTAGCCAGACATGTTGGTACAGGCCTGTAATCTCTGCATGCAGAGTTCTGAGGAAGGAGGACCAAAGCCAATCT